TGGATCATAAGAGTCTGAAGTATTTGTTTACTCAGAAAGACTTGAACTTGAGGCAGAGGAGGTGGATGGAATTTATAGAGGATTATGACTTTGAGTTGCATTATCATCCGGGAAAGGCCAATGTGGTGGCCGATGCCCTTAGCAGGAAACCTGTTGGTGACATAGCTAGTATAGCCATTCGAGAATGGGAGATGTTGGGTGCACTTGGGGAGTTTAATTTCCTTCTGGGCGAATCCGTTGAGGCTGCGGCCTTGTTTTCTGTTATTGTACAGCCTTCACTTGTGACTCGAGTGTTAGAGGCTCAGAGAGGTGACCTTGAGGTAGAATCTCTCCGCAAGAAGATTTCCGGTGGAAGGGGGCTTCATCGTCTCAGTCAGTGCAGCAATCTTATGCTCCTAGGGTTGAGCAGGTTGATCAGAGGTCGTCTGGGCGCGTGTATGCTGTTACCGCGCAGGCTCTTGTGCCAGCACCATCAGTTGTGAGCGGTACCTTCTTGTTTTGCAACTCGGTTGCTAGTGTTTTGATTGATACGGGTGCATCTCATTCCTTTGTGTCTGCTGCATTTGCATCTGTTTTGGAGTTGGAGTTAGCACAGTTAGCATCTCCTATTTGTGTAGTGTCACCTCTTGGGGGTGAATTGATCTTGAAACAAGGTGTCAGGGGTTGTGATATAGAGGTCGCCGATCATAGACTTCCGTTTCCTTTTGTAGTTATGTCCATGAAGGGCTTTGATGTTATTTTGGGTATGGACTGGTTATCGTCATACCGGGCAGTTATTGATTGCTACCGCCAGAGGGTCACTTGTTGTACCGTGAGCGGGGAGTGTTATCATTTTCTGGGGGACCGGGTCGGTAATGTGTTGCCACCGGGGTATTTTCCGCGAGGACGGAGTGAGCTTAGTGGTCTACCTGCTAACCTTTCGATTAGTGAGCATGATGAGTCTCTGATTGTGTTGCCAATGGTGGTTTGTGAGTACGCGAACGTTTTTCCGGAGGATCTTATTGGTTTGCCACCG